GCCTTCTGAGTACTGGACTTAAAGGCGTGTGCCACCTTATCTGGCCAGAATGCATTTTCAAACAGTTTCTCCCATTGCTTTTTCAGTATTCACCACTCACAAAGCAAGACCAACTGCAGTTTTAATTAGCTCATTTATCAAGCACTCACTAAGGTTCTGATAAATGTTTATGTGTATAAGTTTACTTTGTCAAGTTTCTGTGTGACATGAAACTATGCTATTTCTTCAAAATAAAGAGTTTAACAATGACAGAAAAACAAACCAATCTCAGTGAAGCATAATAAATGTGTTTGTTTCATTACCAATATTTCACAACTATTTAATACATGATATTACTGTCATAGATAATAACGGGTAAGTATATCTTCAGGGGACTTTTCTCATAAACCAAAGGCTCTCAAGTCTCTTAGACATCAATGTTTTTTGATGGATTTTGTGTATGAAAGAGGAATACATTATCTTCATGTAAGTTAATAGTCAATGGCAAAGATATCATTGTAGTACCTGTAAATGGGTATATCCTGTATTTCAAGTATGCAAGGCAAATTTTCTGTCTGTGCATTTCCTGGAGAATGTCTATAATGAAAGTTATAAAAGTCAGCATAGATGCCAGCAGTAGGCTTGGCTGGACCTTCGACACATTCCCTGCTCAAGTAGCCCACGTCTGGGTTACCTGAAGAAAAGCCATGGGGGTCCAACTTGGACCAACTGGTGCATCTCTCTGTAACTTACAAGCAGTAGGTGCTTCTTAAGTAGACACAAAGTATTAAAAGCAAAATGTTTTATTAATCTGTGGCTCATCTTAAACAGATCTCATCGGAAAAACATTTCAAATGGTCTGCCTAGATTTCATATACATTCAGTGTCGTTCCATCTAATGCGACCAACTAATATACAAAAACATGGTTTCAGCAGCTTATATCTCAAAAGATTTTTCTTCTTAAGTAAACCTATTATAAATATAGACATAGCTTTAAAAATGGAATTCAACAGTCGGAAGGAACAACGTAGAGGCCGTGTTACTGCCCACATCTGCTGGGGAAGGTTTTCCTAGCAGGAGGACATCTTTCTAAACGTGCTGAGCATGGCTTCTTTGGTCTGCCTCGTTGCTCTTGTGCATGCAAAGCTTGGGGACTGGGAACTTTTCATTGTGTCTATCAAAATGATGGACTTCTCTTAGGCTAGCATTAAGTTTTGAGGGGATGGAGATGTTTTTTTACCTGCAGTCTGGCACCATAGCTACTAATGGTAGTGGCTGTGGGGACCTGAAACAGGGCTGACGTGACAGAAGCGATGCACGTTTATTGTTTTATTCAAATGACTACATCTGGCTTCCCCATTCAAACAGAATAATTTCACTAAGGCTTAAATATTAAAATGCTAGAGTGTAATTGAAGTTTGAAAGTTCAGGCTTTTTAATTATAAAAGTGAGATGGTTTTTTTTTTCTAGGTAAGAAGAGCAAAGAAAATATTTATTTTGTGCAGGCTCAGAGATTTCCTGGATACTTTTGTTCTTTTCCAATTTTTTTTTTTAAAGTCCCAGATGCCTGGAGACAGTGGCACAGGCCTTTAATTCCAGCAGGTGGATCTTCATGAGTTCAAGGACAACCTGATCTACAGAGGGAGTTCCAGGGCAGCCATGTCTTGAAAAACCGAAAACCAAAGAGAGAGAGAGAGAATGAACAAGAAGGACAAGGAGGAGAAAGAGGAAGCCACAGAAAATGTGCTGCATTGACAGACAGGAGGCAGCAATGATATTCCTAGACCAGCTCGGGTGGACATCCGGGTGGAGAATATTTAGTCGAGGCACTGGTCCAGCTTTATTTTCTTTGTTGAAAGGCAAGGGAAGAGGTCATGAATGGCACAAAGAGGAAGTTAGGACTGGAGCCCACACTCTTCCTATCTGTGGGAAAGACAAAATGGAGGCACACATGGCTGTGTATATCATAAACAGTGCCCAAGGAGCAGGACCGGGCCTCTGCTGTGCCAGGCACTCACAAAGGCGTTGAAGGGTGAGATGCCACTGACCTTAGCAACTGGGGCGGCTGTCACCTCTGTTCCTAGACACTGAAACCTGGTACCGTGATCCGCCGGCCTCCTTGACGCGTGGCCTAGCTCACCTCTAGGTTACCTGAGTGGACCAAGCCATGTGTCTCTCTGTTCCTTTTTCAGTGGTGCTTCATAAATTGAGACAAAATATCAAAAGCAAGAAGCCTTATGTAATATAGCACAGTCTATACATTGAAAATATATTTTAAATGATTTAGAACTAACATAGTTCCAAACCCATTAAAAAATAAGGTGAAATTAACAAAAAAAAATCACATTTTGAAAAAATGTACATACATAATGTACATTCTTGTTAAGAACCATCTGATGGTACAATAAGGCTTTTTAATTTTCTTTTTCTTTTTTTTGGTTTTAGGAAATAAAAGCCAGAGCATAATTTAGAAACAACAGAGCATAAAACCCTAAAATTATCTTATGTACATTTTAATGACATCAATTTCATCTTTTAAAAATGATAGAACTGAATTATGAAAGAGACGAGACCAAACCCCAGTAAACACCATTTCCTTCCCTTAAACACTCTCACGTCTCATGGTTTAGAGAGTAAGCTAAGCTCACAAACTCACAAACATGGAGCCTAAGGCCCCTTCTCTTGGTCGTAGGAACCTGAAATGGCGTCTGCCTTGAACAGGCTCACTAGGCCTGCCAGGCCTCCATTTCTTCAGGCACGCAGTTCATCCCTTTGACCTGTGCCTTCTTTCCGCACAGCCTCCCTTGTCAAGAACTACCAGGTTCTTCTCCTCGACCTTAATAACCTAAAATTCGGGGGTCACATTCTCTCAGGAGCCCCTCTAGCTGCTGCAGACTAAGGCAGCATCCGTATTTCTTACCATGAATCTTCGGGCTCATTACCGCACTGACATGAATGTAGTTCTAATGGTACTTCTACCAGCTGGACTGGGAGCTCTTCAGGGCAGCAGATGTCCTGGTAAGAACTCTGCTACTTATTTCAAGGCTGAAGGTAACCTAGAGTCATAAATACAGACACACACACGTGTCCAAACTGTCACTTATCTACACCCTGGTCTCTAAGAACTAAAGGGGTAAGAAATGGACTAAATGTGAGGAATTAAGAAAAAAAAAAACAGCTGAGAGCTTTTAGACAACAGATATGAGAAGAATGGGAAAGCTAGGGAACATGCTCATCAGCTTAAAAACAGTCCCTTCAGTGTTCAGATAAATCAGCTACATGCATATCCTGTCTGCATTTGGAGAAAAGAACATACAATCGGGTGGTAACAAAATGAATTGAATACTAGTTATCTACCTAAGTTAATATGTTTAGCATTGATGATGACAAGCACAACCTCTACAGAATGCTGGCTGCTTATCTATAATATTTCTTAAAAGAGTATTATTTGGATTTCTCTAGAAGTGATCTGAGGAAACACAGTACAGTATTTCATAGGCAAGAGACACCAAGGCCCCGAGAAGGTAAATGACTTTTCTGGGGGTTCCACGGGGAGTTTGAGAGAGAATGTGCCCAGGGTGGCGGCCAAAGGCTGCACAGGGGCTTAGAGGAGATGGGGTGCAGCCAGGACGGCAGAGGCACAGCTACAGAGCCACCACGCCAACCCGGTTACTACTGAATGAAATGCTCATTCTGCTTCATATTGCCTAAAAAGAAACTTCATGAATTTTTCTAGGAGATGTCAGTGAGATTTGCATCCCATCCCAACCACTTCTTACTTTAGTAAAGATGAATGACTTTTACTTGGGTCAGGCCCTTCATAAGGTATACTAATATTCTAGGGAAATTAATTAATGATGTTAAGGTTGTTTCTGGGGAGAGGACTGGTCCATTAAAATCTTTTATTTTATTATAGAGTTGATGGTGGATTGCATATATAAATGATGCTTCTGAATCATTAGTTGAATGAAGAAAAAAAACCCTTATAAGTCGATTTATATTTTTTTACAAGTAACAGAAATCAGACTCACAGATATGACAAACTTCCTCTACAACCGCTGTCACTCACTGCTAACAATGCCACACACACAACCGGTTGAGGCCATTTCCTTATGTACTTGCTATTTCTTTTTAAGTTTAAAATTTAAAAAAACCTTACATTTACATGCATGTGTAAATTTAAATGTCTGGGTGAGCACCTGCTAAGTGCTCCTGGGTACCACGGAGGTCAAATGAAGGCATCGGGACCGGAAGAACTGGAGTAACAGGGTTACAGGTGGTTATGAACCTCCCAGTGAGGTTGCTGGGAGCTGAACTCCGCTCTTCTCTAAGAGCAGCAAGGGTGTGAGCCACCTTTCCAGCTGCATGCCATTTTTCTAAAAATATTTATTTATTTATTTATTTATTAATTATGTTTTACAATATTCTGTTTGTGTGTATGTCTGCAGGCCAGAAGAGGGCACCAGACCTCATTACAGATAGCTGTGAGCCACCATGTGGTTGCCGGGAATTGAACTCAGACCTTTGGAAGAGCAGGCAATGCTTTTAACCACTGAGCCATCTCTCCAGCCCACCTGCATGCTATTTTTTAAAAAGAGTTTTAAGAATGACATTCATTTTTATTTGCTTTTATTAATTCAGATAACCAAAGAACTGAATTTTCACAAAATTGGTGTAGACAAATGAATCCTTAAAAATCTAAAAGCATGGGATAAAACTGGACTCTCTGAGCATGGCGAACAATGAGGGCTGATGAGAACCCAAGGACAATGGCACGGGGTTTTGATCCTACGTAATGTGCTGGCTTTGTGGGAGCCTAGCCAGTTTGGATGTTCACCTTCCTAGAAATGGACGGAGAGGGGAGGACCTAGGACTTACCACAGGGCAGGGAACCCTGACTGCTCTTTGGACTGGAGAGGGAGGGGGAAAGGAGTGGAGGGAGGGGGAGAAGGGTGGGAGGAGGGGGAGAAGGGTGGGAGGAGGGGAAGAAGGGTGAGAGGAGGGGGAGGGAAATGGGAGGCTGGGAGGAGGTGGAAACTTGTTTTTTTTTTTTTCTCCTTTTCTCAATAAAAAAATGGAAAAGAAAAATCTAAAAGTTCTGTGCTTTAGTCCTAACAACTGACAAAACTCTAAGCAAAACAACTTCTTATGGGCCAAGAGAGCAATCGCTTTGTGGAAAAGCTGAAGATGCGCATGCTTCACGGAAGCAGTGCTGGGAAGGGTGTGGGTGTAGCTTCTGTGGAACCTGAGCAGAGCGAGGGGAGAATATGTATGGGACCTACGAGGACCTACGAGGCCCCAGGTCTGACCAGGGCATGCCAGTTTGGGTGCAGGGCAAGGGAAGAACTCTCCAGCCTGCAAGATCAAGTGTTCTTATGTAATAAATTCGCCTGCAGCCACATCTCTACTTACCAATTTGAAGATATATAAGTGCACCATAGTAAGGTACTTAGAAACTTTGGTGCTGATCCAAGTTAGCGGGTTGGTTTAATGCTTTTACAGCATAAGGTAACTTGTTGGATTTGGGAATACTAGATGTTAAAATACACTACACTGATGACCATAAAATTAAAAATAAAAGACATTATCTATTAACATGTCATTGAAAACACTTATTTATATATAAATTTCATTATTATACAAAGGCTTTCATGATGCTATGCTCAAGGCTTTTATTTTAAAAAGTACAGAATGAAATTCTTGATTTTATTTTTTTTGCAGTGCTTCCATTTGTGCCTGAAGTGAAGGAGGAAATATCAACAATAGCTCTCCACAAAGTCATAAGTTCAGGGTCACTCACTTCAAAATCATTTCAGAAAAAATAAATATATAAGCAAGCATTCATAAAAACTGCCACAATACACATGTAAGCATCAAATACACTAGATAGAATAAAAATCAGCTTTAATGATGATTTTGCTGTTTCCACACAAAAAGTTCTGTGTTTGAGGTATCACCGTAAGACATGCCAATATGGCACATGTGTGTGTCAACCTAATAGTCCTGACCAGCACAGAAACTCCCTGCCAGACTTTCTAGTAAGCTAAGTGATTCTCTTTAAAAGGGGGATATTTTAATTGTTATAAAAACACGGGAGGCATGTGCTAGGAACATGCATTTCATAAAACATTGACACTTGTTACAAATACTTTCATTATTATCTTATAGATCTCACTCATTTAAAAACATAAGATCAGTAAAGCAGTTTTATCTTCAGTGATATTATTTAAAAAGTCGAGAGATTTAAAAACAACAGTGAAGAACTTCACTATCTTTATACATTACACAGTAGATAATAAAGCTATTAAACTCCTCAGTATCAAGAGCAAACCACTACCACCAACCCAGAACGTCACTGGAATAACGCCATTTAGTAGCTGCTGTGTAGATTACTTGGTTTGACTGTGGCTTAACACACAGAAACACAAATACCCAAAACGATGTGCTTTGCGTGTACAAATATCTATACTTGAGGCATGGCTGTCAATTAACAAGATGGATTTAATACCAATGGGCAGAGAGATAAGGGTCCCAACATGTGAAAAATGTCTTTACGGAAGAGGCTGGGATATGCTGCAAAGCGTTATTATATAGCGATTCCAAGGAAGTTACAATAATTAAAAAAATTGAATTCTTCAATTTCCTGAGAGAGGCCAGAGTTTCGGTTACTTTTTGGTGAATTCAGAACGGTTAGGAGAAGAACGTTTTTCCTTTTTTCTCTTCTTTTTTTCCTTTTTGTGATGTTTTCCTTTTTTTGATTTGCTCTTTTTTTCTTTTTTCTTTTCTTTTTTCTGATACTTCTGTTTCTTTTGCTTTGAAGAGTCCTCTTCGGTGGAGCTGGAATAAGACCTATGGGCAAGAACACATCAGGATTGGCATTGCAGCAGGGACTGCAAAATTAAGGTGGATCTGAGCTCCCTTAAATATTGGAAGAGAAAGTTTAAACACAGCCTTCTATGCTCTTTAAAAGCAGAATTCAAAGTTTTTGCTGCTTGGTCACAGAAGGTGATAAAGCTACATCTCTATTCTGCTTAGCTCTAGTAATGCAATGGGCTTTAGAAGGGGTGAGGATGACATTCTTTCTGGCGCTGTGACAGGATGCACACGGCCTGCCCTTCAGAATCTTAGAGGGGAAACTGCAGCACAAAGAGCTCCCAACCTCGTGCACACAGCGCACTTGTATATGTAGTAACTTGTTAGCATATTCTCTTAGGTCACAAAAGGATGCAGTTATGGCTAGATACAAAAAAGGATTCTAATTGTTCCTTAGGATGAATGGATAAGAGCTGAAAATTAACAAAATAAAAGCATGCTTGTGATTCCTGTGATTATTCATGTTAATGAACTTGACCCTTCTGCTTGCAGTGCTAGAAATGAGCACTTGTATTTCTGAGTAATTTTTATTACTTACAGAATGGGTGCTTTTAAATGAATACTGCATGTAGATGAATGAGGATGATTTATCATTATACTTTATTAATATTTTAACACAAAATTGAGAGGGAACACCCATAGAATTTCCTTTCCTGATATAAGATGCAGCAGAGGCTGGGAATGAGGAAAAGAAAAAAACAAAAACTCCATCTTTTCAGATCTTATATAAAGTATAACATTTTACCTATGCTCAAACTAAAAATATATGTGACAAAACAGAAACTGAATTAATTTACAATCAACAGGTATCTCAAAAGTTAGTTCATACAGGTAACATTATATGGACTGAGCAGGTTATATTTATATATTTAGGAGTCTATCTATCTATCTATCTATCTATCTATCTATCTTGCCTATCTATCACCATATAACTATAACCAATATTTGGAAGCTTTTTTTTTTTTTTTTTAAAGTCACGAATTTAAGAGAAGTGCATGGGAGAGGTTGGGGGAGGAAATGGAAGGAGGAAATTCTGTAATTGCATTTTAATTAAAAAATTTTAAAGTTAGATTAGCAATCTAGGAGCTAAAACCCAAACTAAGAAACTTCAGGACAGGGGCTGGAGAGATGGCTCAGAGGTTAAGAGCATTGCCTGCTCTTCCAAAGGTCCTGAGTTCAATTCCCAGCAACCACATGGTGGCTCACAACCATCTGTAATGGGGTCTGGTGCCCTATTCTGGCCTGCAGGCATACACACAGACCGAATATTGTATACATAATAAATAAATAAATAAATAAATAAATAAATAAATTTTTTTAAGAAAAAAACTTCAGGACAGACACAGGGAGCAAAAGCGAATCCAGAGCCTGCAGTGTTCAGGGATCCCCATCCCAGGAGTGGCTTGAGCGGGCCCTGCCTCCAAGATGCCCCTCCTATTCTCTTGCTGGCCTACTTATTTGCACACATACAGCTTCTTCTATGCCTGCACATTTTCTCCATCTTTTTGGTCCTGGATTCTCATAAGGCAAAACTAGGTTTGGGCACAGCACACCATGAGATGGCTATCTGTACATGTACAAAGAAGTTTGGGTTTCAGTTCCTTAGAACTGCAAGGCTTGGCATAGACAGGTCTAAATATAATCTCTAACTACAAACCAAATATAATAAACCAAATATGTCAGAACACGAAAGACTACATAGTCTCATGTTTCCTCCATGCAATGCAACCTGCTGCCTTAGCACAAATCACAACACACTTGTCAGAAATCTGAGCCTCTGCTCCTAGCAGTTCTTATGTTACACCTGAAAGTGAGCTAACTTTGACCACTGACAAGGTTTCTGAAGTATATATATAGCTGAGTGCATTATAAAATTATAAAGTGGTAATACCCGATTAAAAAAAAATCTGGGAGGATAAATCCAGACCAGACCTCAGTATGAGCGAATGCTCAAAACCATTTCTACTTATCTCAGTTTGAACAAGACTGTACTTAGTAACCAGGGGGAGAATTTGTCTCTTAATCACATTTGATCAACTTTTTAAATTAATCATTAAAAATCTTACCAGTAAAAAAATTCACAAATGGCTAGTGAGGGTTGTGGAAGAGTTGAAGGAAGTTTGGGCTTATGAAATTTTATTACATTCCATGAAGAAATTAATTTCTTAGTCATGATAATGAAAGAAGAATACAGACATTTAGAATCCAATTTCAAAAATGAGCAAAAATATATATGAGGAATTCTGATGTGCATCAAATCAAAATTTCAGTTCTCACTGTAAATGTGAAATCCAGAACACAAATGTATAAAGGAGGAGGGGCACCACCTCTCATCAGGACCTTGGTTCGTTCCAGAGAGAACATGCAAGGTGACTGTGTGATGACATCATTTCTGATTCCTAATTTCTAATGTCGAGGGTGTTGCTACTTCACTACAGTAAATATAAATATGTTATTCTCATTAAGAAAACTCTCCAGTAAATTAACTAGATTATATGAAAAAGAAAATTTATAATCCTTCCAGACTAACAGCTTATGTTTTTCTTTTCAGTACCTATTAAAATATTAACCTATTAAATAACCTATTAAAATGTACCTTTTCCTCTTTTTCTTCAATTTAATCTTCTCCTTGCTTTTTTCCTTTTTCTTCTCCTCTTCTTCATTTATTCCTGTAAGGGAAAAAGTGGAGGAAACCATCAGTTACCACAAGACTACGTACAAATATGCTTTGTGTGTGTGTGTCTGTATATACCTGCGTGTGCCTGTGTATTTTATTTTATAGTTAGAAAGATGAAGTCAACATAAACAGGAGTAAAAAGTAAAAGCAAGAAAGAGCCTGCAAAATGACTTCTCTTTCATAGATGGTAATTACAATATGATGGTGATATATTCTACTAGGAAACTCAGAAGATCACATTAGCTCATAGATTATGTCTTAACAAACTTAAGAATGAAATCAACTGAGCATCTGACTATTCACAATGATACGAAATCAGAAATTAGTATCAAGTGGAAGATAGTATAGAGGAAGATTACAAATATGTATAATCAAACACCACACCCTGACCCAACTTCTGTGTCAAAGGAAAATGAGAGAGAAAGCACAGCACATAGGACAGTGGAACAGGAGAGGACACAGCACACAGTGGGGACAGTGGAGCAGGGGAGGACACAGCACACAGTGGGGACAGTGGAACAGGAGAGGACACAGCACACAGTGGGGACAGTGGAGCAAGGGAGGACACAGCACACAGTGGGGACAGCGGAGCAGGGGAGGACACAGCACACAGTGGGGACAGTGGAGCAGGGGAGGACACAGCACACAGTGGGGACAGCGGAGCAGGAGAAGACACAGCACACAGTGGGGACAGCGGAGCAGGGGAAGAAACAGCACACAGTGGGGACAGCGGAGCAGGGGAAGAAACAGCACACAGTGGGTGTAGTGGAGTAGAAGGAGAGGACACAGCACACAGTGGGGACAGCGGAGCAGGAGAAGACACAGCACACAGTGGGTGCAGTGGAGCAGAAGGAGAGGACACAGCACACAGTGGGGACAGTGGAGCAGGGGAGGACACAGCACACAGTGGGGACAGTGGAGCAGGGGAGGACACAGCACACAGTGGGTGCAGTGGAGCAGGGGAGGACACAGCACACAGTGGGGACAGCGGAGCAGGGGAGGACACAGCACACAGTGGGGACAGCGGAGCAGAAGGAGAGGACACAGCACACAGTGGGGACAGTGGAGCAGAAGGAGAGGACACAGCACACAGTGGGTGCAGTGGAGCAGAAGGAGAGGACACAGCACACAGTGGGGACAGTGGAGCAGGGGAGGACACTGCACACAGTGGGGACAGTGGAGCAGAAGGAGAGGACACAGCACACAGTGGGTGCAGTGGAGCAGAAGGAGAGGACACAGCACACAGTGGGGACAGTGGAGCAGGGGAGGACACTGCACACAGTGGGTGCAGTGGAGCAGAAGGAGAGGACACAGCACACAGTGGGGACAGTGGAGCAGGGGAGGACACTGCACACAGTGGGGACAGCGGAGCAGGAGAGGACACTGCACACAGTGGGGACAGCGGAGCAGGAGAGGACACTGCACACAGTGGGTGCAGTGGAGCAGAAGGAGAGGACACTGCACACAGTGGGGACAGCGGAGCAGAAGGAGAGGACACTGCACACAGTGGGGACAGTGGAGCAGGAGAGGACACTGCACACAGTGGGGACAGTGGAGCAGGAGAGGACACTGCACACAGTGGGGACAGCGGAGCAGAAGGAGAGGACACTGCACACAGTGGGGACAGCGGAGCAGGAGAAGACACAGCACACAGTGGGTTCAGCGAAGCAGAAGGAGAGGACAGCCCATGATGTTAAGTACCTGCACCAAGTAAGAATCTGAGACAGCCCATCAGGGCTCCTCCTCATGCTTAACAACTTCTCTTACCTCAAATTGGAATACAAAATTACTGTTTAAAGCTCTCCGAAAATCTAGAACACAATGAATTTACTTCTGTAGAATATCTACATAGATATTATATAGCATCATACTGCTCCCATTACAATAACGAGGATTTTATTATACATAGGATGGAGTAAACAGTAGAGACACTTCTTTTACAAACAACTGAAGCTTGTTTTTGCTCTTTTTTTATAATATAAAAACTTTCTATATAAATCTTTCAATGGTTTTAAAAATTATTTTTACTTATGTGAATGCCCTATATATGCAGTGCTGCAGAAACCAAAGAAGGGTGGAGAATTTCCTAGAGCTGGACTTACAAACAGTTGTGAGCTTCCTGAACATTGGGGAACATTATTTTAAGGTGTATGACTTCTGTTTATGATGCATTTGTTTACTTCTGTGAAGCTCTGTTTCTGTGTCTGTCTAAAACACCTGATAGGCTAATAAAGAGCTGAATGGCCAATAGAGAGGCAGGAAAGAGAAATAGGCGGAGCTAGCAGGCAGAGAGGATAACTATGAGGAGAAAAGGATCTTGGAGCGAGAGAGGAAGGAAGAGGACTTTGGGGACCAGTCACCCAGTTTCCCAGCTACACAGTCAAACACTCAGTAAGAAGAAAATAAAAGGTATACAGGAATAGAGACAGATAAAAGCTCCAAGGCCAAAGATAGATCGGATAATTTAAGAAAAGATGGCCAGAAATAAGTCAAGCTAAGGCTGTACATTCATAACTAAGAATAGGCCTCTGTGTGTGATTTATTTGGAAGCTGGGTGGTGGGGCCCCCAAAATGTCAAAAAAAAAAAAGTAAGAGCAAAAACAGCCAACAACACTTGAGGTGGGAGCTGAACTCAGTCCCTGTGGAACCACAGCAAGCTCTCGTAACCGCTGAGCCCTCGCTGCAATCCTCAGGTACACTGTGGTGAGAGTCCGTCCAAAAGCAGAAAGGAAGCTCCTGGGGCTTATATACTGGCAGTCTTAGCATGTTCCTTTGCCTATGCCTAGGATTCTCTGTGTACTCAAAATCGCTATGAAGGTTCTGAGCATCTAAAATCTCTGCTATTTGTCAATGGGGCCTGACAATCCGATGTTTGTCTTATACAAGTTTAACAGACAACAAGCGAGGAAAAATCAAAATACCAGTTATGGAATCAGAAGCTGACTTGCCTCCTGATCGCTAATCTCATGCCAGTGACTTCCTGTGCTGTAGCCCTTGCATGTGGTCAGAAAGACAACTCGGTGATAGCACAGTTACACAAGTGTGACATGACCCAGGAGGAGACAGGAGAAAAGCCACGCTTACTTTTCTCTTGCAGAGCCTGCAATTTGTTCAGTTCTTCATTTTCTTCATCGCTGTCCTCACTACTTGTGCTACTGACGTCCAACACAATGTCCCTTTTGGGGTCAACCCGGAGAAAATTGCGGCACTCAAAAGTCAGATGACCAGCTAAATAAACAAAACAAAACAAAAACCAAGAAGGATAAATCTAGTTGCATTTCATTTGTATTTTGATAAATAAAGCTTGTCTGAAAATAAAAAAAAAGTAAAATAGCCATACTGGCCAGCCTTATAGACTAGGCAGCAATGGTAATCCCAGTAGCCACAATGACACACACATTTAATCCCAGTAGACACGCTAGCTTGCCATAGAAACCAGGCGGTAGTGGTGCACGCCCTTAATCCCAGCACTAGGGAGGATTATAAAATGGGAGGAGACAGCTCTCAGGTCAGTCTCATGCTGAGGTTTTCTGGAGGCAGGATCGCCATTTTGAACTGAGGTTTTGGTAAGAGCCAGTGGCTGGTTGTTTTGGTTTTCTGACCTTCAGGTTGAATCCCAATTTTTGTCTCTGACTTTTTATTAATTGTGTTTCAGATAAAACTACACATGCATCTGTGCTGTTTGTTTTGGTGCATCACAGGGGGTAGCAGAGTACAAGGTCAATAACAACACAAGAGCCTTAACTTTTATCCTGTTGCTGGAGGTTAGACTTTATCCTATACACTTTTTGCTTGAATACAGTATTCCAACAGAACTTTCCCCTTCTTCATTGGAACTTCTAATTCAAGAAACATTGTGGGTGCACTTGTCATACATTTCAGAACACTGAAGCACTGTGGTAACTTAAAACATTCTCGCATACATGAAACCGTATATTTTATTCGCTCCCTGTAGCCTCTCCTCCTCGGCTTGCCTGCCAACTCATGTGGTTACAGCTTTCACCTAATTCAAGTGGTCATAATGCATAAGCATCACACAAAACTAAAAATACTTCTCGAAAGGATTTAAAAAATGAAATATTTAAATTCTGATATCACTTTTCCTAAAATTCTTCCAGTAAGAAAACTTCAGTCCCTTGTTCCCTGTGATGGTTCTCACTAACCTGATCCTGACAGGATCGGGGATCACCCGAAGACAAGCCTCAGGCTGTCTTTGAGGGTTTAGAGAAGGTTAGCAGAGGTGGGAACATTAGCCCTGTGTGAGGGCAACAGCATTCTAAGAGCTGGGTCCTGAACTGAAGGAAACAGACAGAGTGGGCTGACAGGTTTGTGCAGTGGGTGAAACCACTCGCCTTTGAGCCTGAGGACTTAAGTTCCATCCCTAGGATCCACGTGGTGGAAGGAAGGAGAGATATCACGTTTTCCTGTGATATCTACATGTTGCCATGGTACCTGAGTAAACACGTGCATGCGTGCACACACGTGCACACACACACACACACACACACACATAAACAGAGACAGACACACAGAGATAGATAGATAGAGATAGATAGATAGATAGATAGATAGGTTCCAGGTGGCAGCTTGCATCTTTCCCCTCTGGTGGCTACATGGTATCTCCTGACTCCACCTTCTTTCTCCCAGCATTCAGTTTAGTTTTCCCTGCCCAGCTCTGTTCTGCCCTGCTATAGGACTAAGCAGTTACTTTATTCATTAACCAATAAAAGCAACATATAGAGGACATCCATACCACCACTCAGTCAGCGTGCGACTCACTGTGTGTTCAGCACGCACTCCGGCTTTCGCTCTGAGACCCTTTTCACCCCTGCACTGGGAGGGTCACCTTTCCTTCTTGTTGGCTCGGGTTTCTGGTTTGACTCCGCTATTATCACATTAACTCCCTCCAGGGCTATGCACTTGGCACAGAAAAGGGGGCTTTCCACAGTTCTCACAGTAGCCCAGCTTGCCACTGTGACCAGAATTCCTTGTGACACAATCTTACTTTACTCAAGTTAGCTTTCTACCCAAATCCCTGGCACCGAAATGATCACATAAGTGAAATGCGTAGGGTCCCACACCTATTCTAGTTTCCCTTTAGTGAAGGGGACATGAAAAATTACTTATGAAACTATACTGAAGTCTGGCTTTTGCCTGTTGCTGTTCTTTTTCCTTTTAGGACAACACTGTCTTTCTAACCATTTGTCTCCATGGGGTTTCTTTTCTAAATATACACTAAGAAGATGAAGGGTAAAGAATTATGACTGTGAGGGGCTGGGGGTTGGCTCAGTGACCAAGGCAGTAGTCATCCAAGTGTGAGGACTGGGTTCCTTGAGCCCCTATACAAAAGGTCAGGTGGGCATAGTGGCCGCCTGTAGTCCCAGTACCTGGGAGGCAGAGACTGGGGGTCCATGGGGCAAGCTGGCTAAGGTGAGAGGTCAAATCAGCAGGCTCTGGGTTTACTGAGAGATCAGGTTCAGGATGATACACCCCAAATGTGGGTTGTACCTTCCCACGAGTTGGAGGCCCAGATGGAATAAAAGGGGGAAAGGACACCAGCCGTGCAGGACTTCTGCTTCCTGTCAGCAGTGAGGGTGGTACACACCCCACCTGCCATCGTGTTCTAGGAGACAACAGAGCAGACCCAGACCATGACAGATAGGAACCCAAGAGAGCTTGAGCTAGGGAGGAGCAGTCCCTCCCATTTTATTCAGACATCTGTCACAGTGACCAGAAAGGAAAATGCAATGACTAGCGGAAGTCTGTCAAGAGCGCCCATCACTCAGGGGAAGAACAACAGTCAGCTGTGGCAAGTATCTTCCTGTACATTAAATAATAGCACAGACTCTCACAGGAATGAAAATCAGGGACCCATCAATGATCACCGTAGTAGCATTATTCGTAATGCTAAAAAGATAAAAACAACCAAGTATCTACCCACAGGTGAATGGATAAAGAAAGTGTAGTATATCCATGCGATGCAACACCATTCGACTGTAAGAAATAATGTCAACATGTGTGCACAGTACAACATGGGGTAACTTTGAAACATTTCGCTAAGTCAGACACAAAGGACAAACTCTGTGGCTCCTCCACTAAAGGCTGTGTAGAGTAGCAGAAACCACCAAGAGCTAAGGAAAGGAAGGGATGCAGTTTCTACTTCATGACTAGAGTTTCTATTCGAGGTAATCAAAATGATTCGGAATAGGAAGTGGAGATGGCTGTCCAGAACTATGAAGGTAATTAATGTTCAGGACAATTTACTGAAAAACTGGTTAAAATTTTACATTTGATACATTTTTGCCACTATGGGAAGTAAGAAAACATAACAAGCACAGCACAGCATGGAATTGATAACCAGAGCACAAATTCCACCTTTCCATCTTGTACCGTAGGAGCCTCCACTTCCTAATATACAGCAGCCGCCGTCCACAACTATAACCAGTCAATGACCCAATTACACAAGTTCTCCTAATCGTCACAGCAACCTCTATGAGGTTAGGTACTGTAACGATCTCATTTTGCAGACAGAAAACCAAACACAACGGTGAAGCCATATGCCCACGGCGGCATATCTAGTAAGTGCTGAGCTGTTTACCCGAATCATCTGTTGCCAAAACAACCAGAAGCCAATGTTAACTAAAATGAAGACCAGGAAATCTTCTTCATGGAGTTATTTAATCATGGTCTGTGATATTTATTTTATTTTTAAGTTTTTTTTATAAATAACAAAGTTTATAAATTAATTTCTTACTCTTAATGGAAATCTTTGTTGAATCACTTATATTTGTTAGAAAACAGCCCTTCAGTGAAGTGGCATATCCTAAACAGTCCAGTGTAGTTAGCACAGATGTCAAACAACTTTAGCAACAGCAGGTAATGCCGAGAACAACCATTGGTAAGGCCTGCAGAGCAGCTGGATTTGCCTCGAGGAATGCTGTTTACAGAATCAAATCACGGTACTGTATGTAATTACATAGGCTTGGGTGTACTTTCTAATTCTATTATATTAATCACATGGAAGACATTGTTGAAAACAAGTTTTTTGCACATGAGCAGAAATTCTGGGACCAATCAAACCCTTATATAAAGGGATAAATTCAGCAAACATTCAAAGATTGTTTTTAATGCCTTTACTCTTCATCTGGTATCCAGAAACAAAGCAATACATAGATGCATATATAGCATATACAGCATACATACACACACATGTTTAAATCTTTTAAAAATTTACTTATATTATTTTATATGTGTGTTTCTAAATTTTTATTTATTTATTGCCTGCATGGATGTATATATATCATGTGCATGCCTGCTGCTGGTGGAGGCCAGAAAAGGATGCTAGCTCCCTGGACTGAAGGTTCACATGGTTATGAGTTACCACATGGCTGCTGGGAATCAAACCTGGGTCCTCTAGAAGAGCAACAAGTGCTCTAAACTGTCTAGCCATCTCCCTAGCACCACCTATATTCTTATATACATAGGCTTTTCTTTTATATTTTAAATTAACTTAGTTCTATTTTCTTCAAACTTCTAAATCTCCCGCCAACCCCTCATATTTCATGGCTCCTTTGCTAGTTACCAAGTCAACTTCAAACCCTGGTAGGGGCTCCGGACCACCCACAGAGCTGCTGAAGTCAGGATACTGAACCATCCTGCTCCCTCCCAGCCCCCAAAACAATGGCCCCAGCAAACACAAGTAGACACAATATTGCTTTTTACTTACGGTAGCCACATTTTTTGCAGCCTGCTCGGACATTGTCCTTGTTGCAACCTGAAATACAATTGGAGAACATTTGGAGAAATACATATAAGTAAAAATAAAGACTTCATCATATGATAAAATCCCAAGAAAACCTTTTGTTCTAAAACTTCTTGAAAAAGAACTCTAATCTTAGCAACACTACTCAATTATTTTGATTAACAGCTTACTGAAAGTGAGTTTACCCAAATCATTTGACCAATATTTCAAGAACATATATTTTTCTAATTCAGTAGGAAAACAGCACTGTAGTTGAGAAGTTAAACATTTAAGAATCCTACAACATTGAGGAAGAAATTCTAGGACACCATGGCTTATTGTTGAAACGTAATTAATTTACCATATATTTATAAATACTTACCATATATATACATATAAATATAATATACATGCATAGAAACATTAAGATGTAGCAAACGTTTTTGTGTCTTTCAGTAGAAAAATAATTCTACCTTTTCTCAAAGAAATTGATGGTATTCCATAAAATTCACTGTAATTGTTTGGTATCATAAAATAACTTAAATTCAGCACTTGAACTTTGATAAGCGAAAACAGAGTAGTCACAGTTCAATTCTGATAAAAGTTCCCAAATATTCACAGTATTTCTGTGTAGTCGATCCACACAGATGGTGCTGAAAAAAGGAAAACTCACTTTTAAAATTGTGATGAAATACACACCGCAGTGAGGATTTTGATCACTTCAAATGTGCATCTTAGCAGCGTGGCAAATAGTTCCAATGATGTGCAGCTCTCAACTGCTGTCCTTCTCCAAATGGTTTTTATCACCAAGAACAACTGCACACAGTAAACACCTTCATGTCTCCCCAATCTCAGCTATTCCAGCCTACTTTCTAAATATTTGTCTCTCTGGAGAAACCAGGCAATACTTTTTTTTTTTTTTTTTTTTTTTGAGACAGGGTTTCCCTGTGTAGTAGCCCTAGTCCTGGAACTCTGTAGATCAGACTAGTCTTGAACTCACAGAGATCAGCCTGCTCTGCCTCCCGAGTGCTAGGATTAAAGGCGTGCACCACCACTGCCAGGCTGATAGTTGTTCCTTTTAAAAGTCTGACATGGTGTTTTTAAGAATCATCCATATTATAGCATGCACCAGAACTGCATTATTTTTTATGGCCAAATATTCCACTGAACATCAAAATGAACTTTAACCTCTCAGTGGCTTCTGTAAAGCAACGAGAGGCCAAGTGCAACATTATTCCATTTCTCTGGTGCAGGAGGCCCACTTTCTAAATCCTTTCAGTGGAGTTCTCATCCTCATGTGAGGCTGTTGTAAAATGTAGAGAGCAGAAAGAACGCATTAGTAGTTGTAAATGAAAATAATTCTTAAACCACCTCTTTAATGTGATAAGCTTGAACACTAGTTATTTCCCCCTACTCCTAAGTTGGAGAAAAACATTATGCTAAGCGAGCTGGTTCTGTAAACGCAGCCCTACAACACATACTACATTAGTACTACAATAAGTAACAAGCGCTGCTCCATGGCCCACAGACATCCTTAGAGAACATCTAAGAAGATGCACCTTGTATCCAGGTGACGGGACCAGGTGGATGCTGCATCCCGCTGACATCTGAGCCTCCCATGCACACACAGCACAGCTGTAAGCATCTCCCCACTAGCCTCTGAGTGACAGCTCCATCATGTTTGGAGCTAGGACCTTTCTGACACTACTCATTACACCCTCCTCCAACCCCTTCCTAAGAACTCACTAGTTACAGTCCTTCTGAAGCCAACTTTCACCTCAAACTCTAGAAGCTGTTACTACTTTTTACAGTATTTCCATGTTTAAATCAGAGAAGGTGTCACCGCTGAAGTTTCTAAGCACGGTGTACTGACTGATCCCTTCCCTTTAGACGCTGTCTTTACTTTGTCCTGTAAGAACCCACATGCCACAGTTAGCAGAATCAGCTGTGGAATATGACTGGATTAATATAATTTAAGGCTTCTCCATGATGAAAATAATTGCATGTTGACCAAAAAAATCAGAGAATATGGGTCAGTGTTGTTTCCATAGAAACCACAGATGTTGAATAATATGGAACAAACTGCTTTATGCACAGACGAATAGTAACAGGCAGGTGTGAAACTATCTCACCTCTGCCTGTGCTAGAACTGAACTCATTTAGAGCAAGAGACACTGATATGAACTCATTCTTCAAGTGCTTCCTATTTCTGGAATGAACAGAACATGAACTTTTTCTCAGGCTATCTTCTGTAACCAAGACAAAACTTTTTATGACAAAAAAAAATAACCAGATCTTTTTATAAGCTACTTCCTTACTAGCCTTTGTCTAAATTAAGATCTCAGTTTTATTTGTAATCATTTGCAAGACTGCCTGGCTAATGAAGGTTTCCGTGGACCTTTGAGACCAAGGCAAAGGACATCACAGACCTGGGGAAAGTGATGTAATCATAGATCATAGTTCACCCTGTTGTCAAGATCTGGCTTCTAGCTAAGTATCTGTAATCTCAACATCAGGAGGCTGAGGCAGGAGGATGCTGAGTTCAAGTCTAGTAGGGCTACACAGTGAGCTTAAGGCCAGTTTGGCCTGTGTGTGTGTGTGTGTGTGTGTGTGTGTGTGGCGGGGAGTGGGGGGTTCATTCATTTCCGAAGCATGGCGACAGTGGCAGAGTGCTGGGTTTGCTGTACTTTGCCTTTTCTGGTTTCTGAACATTGTTAGCAAGGATCTTCTTAGAGTCAATAAACTCCTTTCTTTTTCAATTTAATCTTTTGTTTTCTGTCGTTCAGACAGGAACTCTGGCTATTGTGTGGTGAGGCCCCTTCCCAGTGCAGAGAGTCACTCTCCCATTGACTTGTAGCTCCTTGATGTTCCTGGTTCCCTCACCACTAAGTTGGCTTAGGCAGTGATGCCTCCTGCCCCCTTCAAGTTCTCCTTGGTAATCAGGACCTACAATCTAAAGGTCACCATAGAAGCACATAATAAGGCCAGGTTGCGTGTATGCTGGGGGGTGGGGCATCGAGGGCTGCATTCCAGTGGTGAAAGCCTTCAGCAGCAAACTCAGAATACACTTCAAGGGCTGTGAAACACTTGTAACTTGAAGGAGGGAGAAACACACCACTGTGGAAAATCAGCACATCCTGAGGAAAAGACCGATGGCCAATGCGAAAAAATGGGGAAGAAGGCAAACAGTGGACAGAAAGCATATGGAAAAGAAACAGGAACGGCTCTAAAACATGTAGGAAGTGCTCATTAATAATGGTATCAGGATTCCATTTTCTCTTATGAAAGGAGCTCAGGTAGAGAAACTTGAAGAGAGCTTTGAGTGGAGCACACTCTGGAAGGGTCAGTGGGGCACACTCGGGAAGGATCAGTGGGCACACTCTGGAAGGGTCAGTGGGCACACTCGGGAAGGGTCAGTGGGCACACTCTGGAAGGGTCACTGGGCACACTCTGGAAGGGTTAGTGGGGCACACTCTGGAAGGGTCAGTGGGAAAGCACACTCTGGAAGGGTCAGTGGGCACACTCGGGAAGGGTCAGTGGGGCACACTCTGGAAGGGTCAGTGGGAAAGCACACTCTGGAAGGGTCAGTGGGCACACTGGGGAAGGGTCAGTGGGGCACACTCTGGAAGGGTCAGTGGGCACACTCGGGAAGGGTCAGTGGGGCACACTCTGGAAGGGTCAGTGGGCACACTCGGGAAGGGTCAGTGGAGCACACTCTGGAAGGGTCAGTGGGGCACACTCGGGAAGGGTCAGTGGGCACACTCTGGAAGGGTCAGTGGGCACACTCTGGAAGGGTCAGTGGAGCACACTCTGGAAGGGTCAGTGGGGAGCACACTCTGGAAGGGTCAGTGGGAAAGCACACTCTGGAAGGGTCAGTGGGCACACTCTGGAAGGATCAGTGGGGCACACTCTGGAAGGGTCAGTGGGCACACTCGGGAAGGGTCAGTGGGCACACTCTGGAAGGGTCAGTGGGGAGCACACTCTGGAAGGGTCAGTGGGAAAGCACACTCTGGAAGGGTCAGTGGGCACACTCTGGAAGGGTCAGTGGGGCACACTCTGGAAGGGTCAGTGGGCACACTCGGGAAGGGTCAGTGGGCACACTCTGGAAGGGTCAGTGGGGCACACTCGGGAAGGGTCAGTGGGCACACTCGGACTCGGGAAGGGTCAGTGGGGAGCACACTCGGGAAGGGTCAGTGGGGAGCACACTCGGGAAGGGTCAGTGGTGTGTAAACGAGCACCACAAAGTCTACCACAAGGCCTTATTCCAACAATCCCACACCTGAGAAGTCAGTTCACTTGCACAAGTGCAAACCTACTATGTCTAAATCTAAGTTATGGCATGAAGGAATGAGGCCAGTGCTTCATGAAATTTAACAATCCCTAGCACATACAGAAAGAGGAAAGAAAGTTACAGCAGAACTGTCCGTGATGTTGCATGTATATAACAAGGATTGAACTTTACTTTGGTTATTTATTTCTTTTCTTCTATAGCAGTGGTTCTCAACCTGGGCCAAGAACCCCTTGGGGGTCAAACGAGCCTTTCAAGGGGTCGCCTAAGAACACTGGAAAATATATTTATATAATTGTTCATAACAGTAGCAAATTACAATTATGAAGCAGCAACAAAGATAATTTTGTGGTTGGGATCAGCACAACACGAGGAGCTGTATTAAAGGCCGAGAGTTAAAGGTTGAGAACCACTGTCTATCATATATACACAAATTCTTTGGTCGCACTTTTTTTTTATCTGTAGGCCTTTTAATAGATGTAAATTATATTTTAGTAAAGCAGGTGACACAGAAGGAAAACTTATAAACAGCAAGAGCGGGAAGCAAAGGTGAGAAAAAAATCAGAGAAGGGAGCTGAGGCGGAGGATGACAAGCTGCTGGGGTTACACAGTGGAAACAATGTTTCAAAAACTGAAACAGAATGGCTAAAGAAAGGGAAGAAAAACAAGTGATGAGATTCTTGGTAGCTCTCTCAAAATAACGCAAAAACATCAGATTTGACATAAATACAGTTTTTTGGAAGGT